TATGGAGATATAATTCATAAAAAAGAATTTGATAAAGTAGCTAAAAGAGCAATACTTTCTGCAAGGAATATTGATATAGACGAAATTAATAAACAAGTTGTTAAATTATTAGATGTAAGTGGTGAACGAATATATACAAGTATAGATAGTGCTGTAAATAGTGATGATAATGGTGACATTGTTGAATCTTTATTACCAGAATACTTAAATAGTCCTTCTCCAGCTTGTCTTCCTCCTCATGAGTTACGTTTAAGACCAAATTGTGTTGTTATGTTGATTAGAAATCTTAGCATCAACGAAGGTCTTTATAACGGCACTAGATCAATAGTTCTTGAGCTCGCAAATCATTTACAAAATGTAAGACTTTATCAGGTGATAAAGGACATATTGTTTTCTTGAATCGTATAACACTATATTGTGAAAACATATATCCTTTTACTTTTAAAAGAAGACAATTTCCAATAAAATTAGCTTTTGCTATGACAATTAATAAATCTCAAGGACAAACGTTTGATAGAATTGGAATAGATCTTCGTAAAGATGTATTTAACCATGGACAACTTTATGTTGCCTTTTCACGAGTTCGTTCTTGGCAAGCATTATGAGTTTATCTTGGTGAATAGCGAGATAATAATTATGTTAAAAATTATGTATATAAGGAATTATATACATAAATTTTATTATTGTTGGTATATTTATATTTAAAGAATTATAATAATAAATNACACCTAATATCTAGCATGCAAATTTCAAAAACGGTTTGAAAGCTTTGAAACCGTACTTTCGAAAGATCTATCGAAATTGTGCGCAACGATATTTTTTCAAAATGGCGGGTGATAAAAAGGAGAACATGAAAAGTTGCTAAAAAAAGTTTCGAGCGTGCGATGGCGCATGGAGCAGAGTAAGTGTCGCAGCTCAGTGGGACGAAAAGTACTAAGAGTATAGAATGTTTTCTTTAAAATATTTCGTTATAGAGCTTGATGCAATATTTATTCACTGAATTATGCAAATTTAACAAGAAAACCGATTTTTAGCAAAATTTGGAACAACTCAGTGAAAAATGATCACATCGAGCTCGGTAAAGTAGCATTTTAAAGATAACACTCTATACTTTCATGTGCATTTGGTCCATTACGCTGCGATACCTGATGCACACCATGCACCATCGCAAACACGGACCTTTGATTATCAATTTTGCATCCTCTCACTTCATCATCCGCCATTTTGAAAAAAATGGCCGAGCATAATTGCCATTCAGATATTCTTAAAGAGGACGTTTCAAGCTTCATTTTGCATTTCTGCGCATATTTGTATCTTCATTATTTACCAAGTTATGATCATTTGAAATTTTGTAATTTTTTCCCAATTTTTAGTGTACCGGGTTTTTTTGCGTTTGAGTGTAGAACTTAATTATAAACGTAATTATGAAAGGAAACTAAAAGTAAAAACATTATTTGATTGTATAACAAAGTAAAAGAATACTCTCACGTATCACGTATTATATTTCGATCTTAAGAGCTAACGCCCGTCTTAGGCCAGGTTGTCCTCAGGCCGGTCCTCGAAGGCGTCTCCCACCTGGCTCGGTTTCTCCTTGACGACGGTGCTTCCTGTCGGAAGTTGTTCCTCATCCGTGTCCTTGGTGAGGCCGACGACCATCGGGCTGCTAGGCGCCTTCTTGCCTTGTCCGGTTGGTCCGCGGCTCTTCCCTTGAGGTCCGGTTGGCACCTCGAGGTCCATCTTTGATGTCTAGTTGGTCTCGTACCTGCTGCTCGAAGTTCCCTTCGGGGTCAGGCTGGACTTTGTTAGGCCCCTCAGGGTCAGGTTGGACGGATGTTGGCCCTGGCGGTCCGGTTTGGCGCCGCTTGATCCGATGCTCGAAATCCGGTCGTCTCAAGTCGGTTTGGTTCGGTCATGCCAGTGCTGGGAGATCCAAAGAATTTCCCATGCTACAGCGCATGCCTGAAGTGACGGAGAGCTACATATATGTAAAAAGCCACTGACAGTATAAAACGTATGACAGAGAGGATCCATGGAGGGGCCCACGCAAAGTATCTGTGTCTTCCGTAGTTGTCTTTCTGCGTTTCTTCCGCGAGTGTGTGGTTTAGGGTTAGGTTGAAACCGGACTCAAAATCGATGCTCAAGTAGAGCTTGAAGATGCAGATTGCAGTACATAAAAACGGATCGGTCGCTATCCGCCCAGTTTGCTGATGGCACGGCGCAGCCTCCCGAAGATGGACGGGAATCTCGGAAGCGGAAAGCTAACACCGCATTCTAAAAGTCCTTTATTCGTTCAATCTTTTATATCATGGGGACTTATCTACCGTACACTTCGCCCGGCCGCGTCGCGCTTATACGAGTCTTTCCGGGGGCACCTTGGCTCACGTCCGGCTGCTCTGGCTGTCCAGGCGAGACTTCTTCTGTTCGGCACTTTTGCGCCTCCCAAACTTCCTTCCACACTTACTCTCTCTCTCTCTCTCTCTCTCTCTCTCTCTCTCTCTCTCTCTCTCATTCCTTCTTTCGTGATAGATGCGGTTCACTCATTGCCAGTCACACTCGCTCGTATACCAGGGCGCTTGTTCCGACGATCACTGCGCGCGCAGGCGCAGACGGTACTTCGCAACGGACAACATAAACTTTTTCATTAAATCGATTATCAAAACGTAACATAATATTCTGCTATAAAATCGCTCGCAAACATAACAATGTTAAATATATATATTTTGTGTATATATAAACTTATCTCTAATAATTCTTTTTGTTCTAGGTCGCCGCGGGACATCATGGGACGCTTTAATACAATGACTCATCCAGGCAAGAATAGCATAAAACTATAATATTTCTCTACTAATCCTTTTTCCTTTTTCTGGTCTCCGCAAGACATCGAGGGATCATCGATAAGTATAAAATAAACTCTACTTAACTAATATTGGTTATCTTTTCAGGTCTCAGTAGGCTCTCGAGGGACGCCGTCTCTCGATGCTCACCACTAGTCGCATCACAGGTACTTATAATAGGTAAGTATATCTTATGTCTCATCTTAAGTATACAACTTTTAAGTATTATCTTAAGTATCTCATCGCTCGTAACTTAAACGCTTTTATCCTAATAAATAAAATTAAAACAATAACTTATTTCGCTTATTCATCCTAAATCGGGTACTTAAGTCCCTACTTAAGTTTCGCTCGTATAGACTCCTCGCTACTTTAATATTACTTATCGAGGTCCGGTAGTTCCGTCGGGTCCTTGACTGCTTGGCTCGGCTTACCACCCTTTGGAGTGCACCTTCCCGAGTACCTGCTCGGAATCCTGCGCGCCTCCTCGAGATCCGGCTGGTCTGGTCCCTGCTTCTCGGAGTCCGGACGATCCTCGTCCGATTCCTTCGAGTCAGGCTCCTTCCGGTCAGGTCCTTGGGACTGCATTTCGAAGTCCGGCATCTCGGGGTCTGGCTGCTTACGGTCAGGTCCTCGAGACTGCTCCTCGAGTTCCGGTATCTCGGCCTGGGAAGTCATCTTTCCTCGATGTGCTGTGGACTCGGGATCCTCTGGAAGAAAGTTAGGTTGGTTTAGGATTTTTAATTGAGATCCTTGCCAACCCCCGGCGTTCGTCCCCAGCTGTTGATGGAACTGCTGGTCTTCAGTGAGCTGTATTGCCTCCCGTCGGTCTCTGCTGCTAATGGTCGGCAGTGAATCGGTCTCGGCGGCACTTAAGCTTCTTCTTCCAATTCCTCGATCAGCCTTTGGCTTCCTCATCCTTGCAGCGGATGACTGCTGCAAGGTTACCCAGTAAACATTAAATATGTTATATTTATGTTGTCACATCAGCATTATAATTTCTTAATATCATTAATTAATGTAATGTGAGTGTTACTTAGTGTTTATATGTAGTGTGTAAGAATAGTAATAGTGCAATCAGTAATATCATAGTGCAATCATAATGTTCATTTTTTGTTAAATAAAATATTAGGTGCTGTGAAAATGGATGACCAACTTTCAACCAGTAGCATCGAGAAGAGGAAAGTTGGAGCACAAAAATTTAGAACAGCGTGGTTAGGTATGAACATTTTTAAAGATTGGTTGACATGGCATCAGGTACGTTCAATAGTAAATCAGTGAAAGTGTATGATATTAAACATTTACATATCATTAATGATAGTACTAAGTATTGTGTTCAATATTAATATAAGTATTCTTTTTAACGTTTATTTGTTTTGTACAATTTTATTGTAAGAATATTAGTAAGGTTTTTCTGCAGTTTCCCTTGCTATTACAACAAATGTTGGTATTCATATATTTTTCTGCTGTTAAAAAATAAAATTATATGTTTATTATTAATTATGAATAGTATTCTGTTCATTTCACAGACCTTTCTATTATCGCTACAATTCCTTCATATTTTCTTTCAAACGAGGGATCTTACACCTGTATAGGCTATAGATTGAAAATTACAGCTGAACCAACTTAAGTTACCAAGATTTAGATTACCTGATTTATGCGATTGCAATTTTCAATCCATAGTATCTTACGAGCGATAAAATACCTTTAAATTAATACGGTACTGAGGCTCCCACAGCGTTTGCTCAATGCGCACGCCCGGAAATTCTCTGGATCTCCCAGCACTGGGTTATGCTCTGTCGAGAACCATCCCGATCCCCGACCTCCATCCCCTGTTGGTGTTGGGATGGGCTCCTGGCGTTTACTCACCCGCCCAGTCCTCCCTTCCTGTCCTTGCTGATGGTTGGCACAGGCCTCGTTTCCTCGACCCTAGTAGTCCTCGGTTGTCCAGGCATCTCGGTACGCTCGGCCGCTGGCCTCGGCTCCCCTTCGCTTGCAACTGTGTGCTGTTGCAAGGTTAAGTTGTAACCGGACTGCAAGTCCTTTCTCGCGGAAGATTGCAGGTTCTCTTTTAGATAGTCGGTCGCCACCCGTCCTGTTGGATCACGCACGGGGCTACCGTCCCGGAAATGGACGGGGATCACAGAAGGAAATGTAAACACACCGCACTTTTAACTGAAAGCCTTTTATTCGTCTTCCTTACAGCCGCCGCAGCTTCGCCTCGCTCTTGGTCACGTCGCGCAGTTACAAAATCTTATCTCACGGGAGCGGGTACGCGCATGTCCGCTCTCTTCCGGCGTCAGAATCCTATTTCCCTCGGTTCCTCCTTGACACTGGTGCCTGTCGTCGGTGGATACTCCTCCTTCAGTTCCTCGGTCAGATCGATGACCATCGGGCTGTTGAGCCTCTTCTCACACGGTCCGGTTGGTCCTCGGCTTTCCTCTCGAGGTCTGGTTGGCGCCGGTCGGTCTTCCACTATCCTAGGCCGTCGGTGTGTTTCGGCGACCCTCGATTCCGGCTCTCAGCTGTCCTTGGCGCGTCGGTCGGCCGTCGGCTCCCTCTCGCCTGCAACCGTGGGCCGTTGCACACTCCCACCTGCCTCCGTGTTTCCGGGCCATCGGTCCGGAGATTCGGGGGCACTCGATTCAGGCGAGTCGGCGATCGTTCGAGAGAGTCTTCTGGTAGCGGCTTTTAGTTTTTCGGCAACTTTCTTGCGATATCGCTGATTCGCGTGTCGCTTCAACTCTCTCTTGTACTCTTCCTTTTCTTTTCGAAGGCGAGCCGCTCGTTCGTCTCTTATTTTCCTTTTTCGTAGCGTTTCCAGTTTCTCCCGCAGGATGGCTGCCTTGTCACGGTGATGGCTTTTCCGCTTTTCCTTGTCGTCGGCTTGGTTGTTGTTCCGATCTTGTGGCATTTTCTCGAGACGTTTCAGCCTTACCAGTGGCTTCATGCGGAGCTTGCTTGCTGGTTTCTCGGCTACTGGCTCGCCGTTCTCCTTGTCGCTGCTGTCTTTGGGACTGGGTTTCGATGTTCTTGTTGTCCTCGTTGGCTTCGGAATGCTTGATTTTGTCACGCTCTTTGGTTTAGGATACTCTGGATCTGGATACTCCCATCGAGCCTCAGGTAATATTGCTCTGTCAGGTCCTGTCGAGTTCGAGGTTGCTTCGATGTGTGTCCGCCGAGTGGTCTCACGGTCGCTTTGGCTTTGAGTCGGTGTTTGTTGACGTTGCGACTCGATGTTCAGGGTACTCTCGGCTTCCTCTGAGGATGACGAGGCCTCCAGTCGTTTGATGTTATTCCGACATTCGGTGATGGAACGTCGCAACTGGGAGATTTCTTTCCGCATTTTCTCGCATTTGGCCTCTTCGAGTTCACGTTCCTTCTGGCGCTGTCTCCTCAATTCTCCTCGCAGCTCTTCGCACTCTCGTCCCAGTTCCTTGAAACTCATGCTGGACCTGCAATTAGATGAGAGAGACACTCGTTAAGACACTCGTTGTTCTCGAGAGGGGTTTTTAGAGATCGATTGGATCTCCCGCGGTCCCCGCGATGGTCGCGAGGGGATACTCCCGCCAGTTCGAATTTTCCGGTGTTTGCCCGGCCGCTTGGGTAGTCTTACGACATCCCAGGTTTCGTCGAACTCCGGCAGCAATATCATTTGGTGATTGAGTTTATGGGTTCTTTTCGGTTGAATCCAGTATTCGTTCAAGTCGTCGGAGTTCGATGACAGCTTACGCGCTATAGTAGCTAATCGAATCTTTGGTCTGATTCGTTTTCTACTAGGCCCAGGCCTCGGAACTTCGCGTTCCGGCTCATATGGTGATTCGAGCTCGGCACTGTATCTCGGTTCGCTATATGGTGTGGATTGCGATTCCCCATGATCCGAAAAATTCTCGTTCGGTCTCCGCGTGTCTCCATACCGGTACGCGTATGTGGTCGCAGTTGTCGCATGTTGTACTGACCTATGAACTCGGAAGTTAGACGCTCTATTAAGTACGCGTTCGGATGTCTCGCCGCGCACGCGAAATGGTCCCTCGTACAGCGGGAACAATTTATGAATTTTCGCGTGTCGTTGGTCACTGCGGCGATGCGCCTTGACTCACACTAGGTCTCCCGCTTGGTACTGCGCGGCTGTATCATGTTTCTCGCTCTGGCGTCTGCGTTTCCGCGCCATAATTCGGAGACGCTCGCTGGCCTTTTGTTTTAGTCCGTCACGGTCTAACTATGGTGTGACTCGAGGTCGGTATCTCGGGTGGATCTATCACAAGATCTACCTCGCGGTCCTCGAGTATCGAGGGTGGCACTCCGGTGCTCGAGTGCTCGGTCGCGTTAAGTATCTGCTCGATGCGCGGCACGATCTCGTCCCATCGACGATGATCGTCGCACGCGTACGCACGCAGCGCGCGACCCAACTCTCGCATGACTCTCTTTACGGGGTTGCTCTGTGGGTTGTACGGGAATGTTTTTCGTACCTTAAACCCCTGTCGTCGGGCGAATTCCTTCCAGTGACCTGCAAGGAACTGACCACCACAGTCGGATAAAATTGTACGCGGTTAACGTCGAGGAAGTAACCTTCCTCGAGTACTCGTTCGATGGTCTTGAGTTTTTGGTCTCGTAATGGGTACATTTTGGTATACTTCGAGAATTGGTCTATCATTACGAGGACATACGCGTGTCCGTCGTAGGATTTTGGTAAAGGCCCGTACAAGTCGATGGACGCGACCTCGCCGACGTTTTGCGGGAGATCATAATACTCTGCTCTTCGAGTAGGTCTCGAGTACACTTTTGTTGCTATGCAAAGGTGACACGAGGCCACTACGTCTCGAGTGATTCGGTCGACGTCGTCAATGTCGAAATATCGTCTCGCGAACTCTAAAAGTTTGTCGGTGCTGAAGTGGGTAAGGTACTGGTGGATCTAACTTATCAATTCCCACGCGATCTCGTTCGATACTGTGACTCGGTCGCTACCATCTTCTCGCACAGTTCGGATAAATCCGTTGCGCATCTGATACTAGTTCGGGTCATCCGCCGCTCATTCTAATATAAGCGAATCGTTGATTTGCGCGTCGCGGATGAACTCGATACAATCACGAGTGTTCCTGCCCTCGTCAGTCTCAGCCATGAGACATACGAGGCGCGTACTTTTTGCGGCCTTCGCGGTCCCACTCATAATTGGTGTCTCTTTCGCAGCCCGACTCGGATGAACCAGAGTCGCTGGTTCTTTGCTGTCGCTTCCAGCGCTCGCTGCGCTCGGTTCTTCTTCGTTTGCGAATCGGTTTGCGCGAAAGCGCGTCCGCCGTGGTGTTTGTCGCGCCGGGAACGTGACAGATGTTGAGGTCGAATTCTTGTAAAAAGGCGAGCCATCTTACCATTCGCTGACTCGCCATGGCGCATGCGCTTACGAAGTTGAGTGCAAGGTGGTCGGTCTTTACCTTTACGCGACGTCCCATCAGGATTACTCGCCATTTTCGCAAGCACCACACGAGGGCTAGTCCCTCGAGCTCTGTTATGGTGTAGCAACGCTCGGCGCCCTTCAAACTGCGGCTCGCGTACGCGACGGTGTACTCGCGACCCGATTCATCGAACTGAAAGAGACGCGCACCTATTCCGACGGTTGACGCGTCTGTCTCTACTCCGTAGTTGTACGCCGGATCTAGTAGATAAAGTCGGCTCGCGTCGCGTACGCTATCTTTAATATCTCAGAACGCCTGATGCGTCGTCGTGAACTATTCGAACTTCACGTCTTTTCTGAGCAACCTTTCCATGTGGATCGTGTATCGTGCGAGATTCGGGATGAACCGGCGGTCCCAATTCACCAGTCCGAGGAAGGCCTGTACCTCCTTCTTGTTTCGCGGCTTTGGAAAATTTATTACGTTCTGCTTGGTCTCGTCCGTGATGGTCACGTGGACTCGCGAGATATCATGTCCCAAAAAGACTATTCGATCCTTCGCGAATTCACATTTTTGTCTGTTTAAGCGAAAACCGGCCGTCTGCAGCGCGTCGAACACGCCCTCCAGCTGTTGCAAATGGTCGCTCTCGTTTTCGCTGGCTATCAATACGTCATCGAGATACACAGTGACGCACGACTTGAGATCGGTCTTCTCCTTGAGTGCGGCCTCGATCGCCTCGATCGAGTGAACGACGTGCCAGTCGTTTTTATTCCGAACGGAAGCCGTTCGAAGACGTAAGTCTGGTGTTCGAAGGAGAAACCCGTGTACTGTCTAGAGTTTTCGTCCAACGGTATCTGCCAATATGCCTGGGTTATATCCAGTTTACTGAACAGATGCTTTTGCCCGATGCCCGCTAACATCTCGTCGATAGTCAGAGGCTGCGCGTGATCATTCTCCATACGCTCGTTAATCGCACGGGCGTCGAGGCAGATACGGATCTTCCCGTTGGACTTGGTTACCGCCACCAAGGTTTATATACTGTTTATATACTGCGTCGCGGCCCTACTGACGACTCCAAGAGTTCCCATCTCGCTGATCTGTCGTCGTACTTCCTCGAGATGTTTGCGAGGAATCGGATACGACTTGCCCTTGAACGGCCTCGCTGTGGTCATACGGATCTCATGCTCGTAGCCTCGGATCTTTCCGAGGGATTCGTCCAAGAGTTGACCATACTGGTCCAAGAGACTCTCGAGTTTGCGCGGAAAGTCGTCGCTGATGTTCGCGAATGTGTCCTCGGTAACCGACTTTCGCGTCTCGAGTACCTCGACGTTTTCGGGATTCGCTTCGGACGTTGACGGTAGACTCGTTTCGGGTGTTTCGTGCAGTTCTTCGGCGCGATTCGCACCGATAAACGACGTGGGTTTCGGACATGTCACGGCGATGCTGTATTTGCTGAGAAAGTCCGCTCCTAGGATCATTGGAACGAAAAGTGTTTCGATCGCGTAGAACTCGTGCGTATACTTGTTTACGCGGCCTTCCAAGTCTCTCAGCTCGACGGTTAGCTGAATCAGCGCGCTCGTATGTACGCCCTTCTGGTTGAAGGCCCCGTGCACGTGGGTCTTATTAATCTCTACACGAGGAAACAGCTTTTCGGTCTCGGTATCCGTCTTATTGCATATTCGCTGTTCGAAGTCGCGTATCAGACTGGGATTCACAGCGGATATCGCCGCTCCTGTGTCGAGTAAGGCGCTAGTCGTGATTCTATCGAGTTCGGTCTTGTCCTCCGCGACCACGTCTATCCTGATCACGGGTACATTTCTCGTTTTCTCCTCGAGGCGCTGGTCTCGGTCCTCAAGATCTCGTAACTCTATGATCATCTCGTCCATTCTTAGCGACGATACTTCATTCCGCGATTCGCGCGGTCGCGATGTCTCGCGTCGATCTCGAGTAGTCGACCCATCTCAGGGAACTGATCGTCGTTCTCCGTTTCCAGTCGTCTCAGGCACAGAGACTGAGGTTCGCACCTCCGCGGACTCCCGCCTGTCTCGATAATCGCGCGATCAGCTCGCCGAGGGTTCCCGGGTAACCGATCGTTCTCGTTTAGCCATCACCGGATCGCATCTCTCGCGAGGTTCACGTACCTCTCGGGATAGTAAGCTCTTCCCGAGTCTCGGCGCTCGGTCGTCGGTTTGCGACAGCGAGTGCGGTCCGTTGAACGACGCGAATATTCCGGATAATCTCGTCTATCGTACGCGGTCTTGCCGTACTGCCTCGATCTCGAGTAGGATTTCTCCGACTCGAGTTCGCGCAGCATGCGTTCTTTGACCGCGATATGCGCACGATTTCGCTCGCGGTTTTGAATCACGGTTAGACACGGTGACAGTTCGGATATCGTGTCTACTCATGAGTAGGTAACATGAGTAGGTCCTCATAGATAGATCAGCGGTGAAGTGCTGGCTGAGGTATTCCACCAGCTCGCATTCGGGAATCGGGGGAGAGTATCTCGCGTCGCGGGTGAACTTCTCGACGTATTCGCTCATCGTACGACCCGACTTGTTGTTCATGCCGTTCCTAACCGCGTCGCGAAGTTCGTTCTGATCGACCCTTCCCTGATATTTCTCCCGCAATTTTACTAAAACTTCACCGAATTCATGAAATTCTTGGAAGTCGAACCATTCTCTGGCCCGACCTTGTACGCAGTGTTTGAAGAAATAAAGTCGGTCTCGTTCTCTCAGCTCCTTATAATCCGCGATGTCCAGAAAATCGTCGAGGAATCTGACAGGATGCTGTTTGTCGCTGCGACCGGAGAATTTTAAATCTCCGAATGGGTTCGTTCGCGGTGCTTAACGGCGATTTCTTCCTCCCTTCACTTTGCCTTCTGCACTCTTCGTTCCTCCGCTGATGTAGCGATATATAATAGCAGCTGCCTCGCGAGTCGAATATCGCGGTCTTTCTTCTTCGCGGAATCGTAGGATTCTTAGTTTGCGTCTTTCCGACGTTTACTTGTAACGACACAAAAATCTTTGTGCCGTTACGCTGACTGCCGCCTAGCAGCACGCGACAGTCAGCTGAGCGCACACCCCCCAACCCGCGCTGACACCGCGCCTAAACGTCGCGCTCGGCCGAATATGCCCGACTACCAGGCAACGACGCTCGGGCACGATCGGCCGCCGAACCGAGCTAGCGGCACCGCCGAAGTTATTCGGCAGACGCCGCATAATCACGATTAATTCCGATTAAAAAGCGGAATTAACTCCGATTAAGGGCGAGGAAAACCGAAGCCCCAAAATCTCGGGTATATAACCCCGGCAGATTTTGACGAGAGAGAGTCTCCAGAGTTCCGTCTCCGCGGCTAGTTCTTTCCGAGAGAGGATCAACCGAGAAGCTTCTGCCGAAATTCGTAAGTTAGTTACCAGGCCGTCTACGACGGTGATTAATAATACCTGTTCTTTGGGCTATAAAGATCGGACGGCGAGTTTGCCGTCGCCCCGGTGTGTTCACCGGAACGATCTTATTTTGTGCCGTCTTTGCGATATAAGGAATCGGACGGCGAGTTTGCCGTCGCTCCGGTGTGTTCACCGGAACGATCTTCTTTTGTGCCGTCTTTGCGATATAAAGGATCGGACGGCGAGTTTGCCGTCGCTCCGGTGTGTTCACCGGAACGATCTTATTTTGTGCCGTCTTTGCGATATTTCGTGCCGTCTTCGCGATATAAGGATCGGACGGCGAGTTTGCCGTCGCTCCGGTGTGTTCACCGGAACGATCTTATTTTGTGCCGTCTTTGCGATATTTCGTGCCGTCTTCGCGATATAAGGATCGGACGGCGAGTTTGCCGTCGCTCCGGTGTGTTCACCGGAACGATCTTATTTTGTGCCGTCTTTGCGATATTCCGTGCCGTCGCTCCGGTGTGTTCACCGGAACGATCTTATTTTGTGCCGTCTCTGCGATATAAAGATCGGACGGCGAGTTTGCCGTCGCTCCGGTGTGTTCACCGGAACGATCTTCTTTTGTGCCGTCTTTGCGATATAGGGGATCGGACGGCGAGTTTGCCGTCGCTCCGGTGTGTTCACCGGAACGATCTCACGATATCTCTTTCTTAATTTCATCAAATAGGACACCAGGAAGGCAAGAGCTGATCAGCTGTGAGTTGACGCGTCGGTCCAGCACACAAGGAATACTCCCATCGCCCGCACCCCTCGACCCCCGGGGCGATCAACGCTGCGGCCGAGGACAAAAGCGAGCGCGACGTGTCGCGACACGTTCTTATACCGTTTTTTTCCGACCCGTCGTCAAGTCGCGTGCCGAATCACCCAAGCTAGCGCTTTAAATCACAACGGAAACACACACCGCGCGGTCACTAATCAGTGGCTCGACCCTCATCCTCGGTGCGTGTCAAGCGCCGTCCGAAATAATTACAGAAATAAGCCCCAAGCAAATCGCTCACCTACCACGGTGACCCCGCGGGGCTCGTAGCGTCCGCGGAAACGATTCACGCAATCACCTAACACCCAAACATTGGGACGTCGCGTCACGGCACGCGGTCGTGACGGGCAAATAAAGACTTATTGTGTTATATTTATTTTGTCTCCGCTTATTGACACATATACACACCACACACACACCTTCACCTGAAAATCTTTCCTGTGGTCGGCTCGCAAACCGCGATCCAAGCCACAGGGCCGGATCAACCCGAAACAACCGAGCCTGGAGGCGCGACCGTTACATACTCGCGATCCGGATCAGGATCGTAGAGATCCTCGTCTATTTCGCTACTGTGAATTGGTTAGTCTCGCGCGGTATCGAATCGTTCTCCGAAACGATCGCGGGTGTTGAAAGTTGCGGAATGCATGGATCTCGCGTCGTCTTTAACCTCAATGAACTCACCACTACCGTAGCCCCGTTGCAATCGGTACCTGCTCCATGCCTCGGCTCTCATTTTCGGCGGTTCGCTCGTAATCTTGCGTGTTTTGTCCGCCTCGAGGGTTTTTAACTGAGAAGCCATGCCTCTGATCAGTTCTTTCATCTCGTCGACTTGTTCGCTGATCTCGGTTAGCCGCGAGTCTTTCGCGAGTTTCAGCGATATGTTTAGAATCGCGGACTTTACCGTGCTGCTTAAGATAAAATTTTCGCCAAAGCCCCAGTTCGTCTGGTTTGGCCCGGCGATCGTGCTTCCGAACGTGGCTCTGTCGGTTTCGATGCTATCGAACGCGGTCGAGCGTACGACTGGCTGTGTCAGAACGCTCCCTTCCGACGCGGTTCTAGCTAATATCGGGCCTCCGATAGACACGAAAGATGGTTGTTTGAGTAGCGGCTGCGAGAGTCCGTACGCACGCTCCGATCGCGTCGCGGGTCTCGCTTCGTTCGAAACGAGTTCGTTCTTCTCGTCCGCAACTGACATGTTTCTGGGTTTGCTCTACGGAACTTCTGAATTTTTCGCACCGTTACGCGTGGTGTTGGAACATTCGAGGTTCTCAAGTAGCGACCTAGCAAGCCAAACTATATGGTTTCTGCGCGAGTAGCTGGTCTAATGTATCGTTCAACTCGCGATCGCGTGATTTTGATCCGAGGATCCTCTTAAATCTATATACTACGAATAATGTGATGCGAATAATACAATAAATGTCCTGTAGATAAGGTGGTTATTGTAGCAACGCTACTACTAAGGATATATACACATGGCCACTAAATACTGTTAAAATATTCTTAAAACTAGGTGTGATTAAATATGACGAATATGTATGCAACTTAAATACTACTGGAATATACTAGAATATATGTATTTGGAACTCGTGTTTTTGTATTTTTCCGGTTATTCATAACATATACAAGATATAATGATATATATTTAGGTTATAGGTCCTCTAACTATTTAATAATACCTCTAAATGTGGATAAATAAAACGTTAATATGATAATATGAAACAAAATTAAGTTTCACGGTGGGACTACTTCCGTGATCTCAAGTGGTACTCTTGTCCCTTGTTCTTTATCAAGAATCTTTTTGTACGTTAATATTATTTACTTTACCGGATTTTTCGATATCGCACTTAAATGTACGTTAATATTCTCAGTTTCTACGAGAATTTATCGAATTATATCCGTACAGAGATCTAAAACTTTTATTTATAGGTTAGCAGATATCTCAAAGGCTAAAAGTTGTACAAGTCGTAACTCGGTAATTTATCAAAGGCACGGTAGTGCCTCGTGCCAAGTTCAAGCGCAACGAAGCTGCGTCTGAACGGCGCGAGGCACACCATGCCTATTATACGCGAAACTGCGAGTTAAAACGAGGTGAGATATTCATATCTCAGCAATAGATGAACCGATCGAGATTTTTTAGTCCCAATCGATTCGGTCTTAAAAAGTAGGAAGCAAAATGTTGTTATGATTTTTGTGTACGTTGTCTCTAAGTGGAGGTATTTTAAGTAAAAGTCCGAATCACGGAAATTTTCGATTCAGTAAGAAAGTAAGAAAGTAAGAAACTTCGGACGCATAAGAGTGAGGATATGTGCATCTCGTTTTTCCGACACCAGGGGCGCTACGAGAGCGCTGAACAAGCAGATATTAGCGAATGCGAGCGTGTAAGCGAGGGATATGCTGTAGAATACAATATAGGACAAAATGTGCGAGAGAGAAAGTGAGAGAGAGGAATGAGAGAGGAGTGACAGCCAGAGAGAGAGAGAGAGAGAGAGAGAGAGAGAGAAAGAGTGAGAGAGAATATAAAATAAATATATATAGTTACGTATATACGTACATACGTACATAATCATTTTTAGGTATTTTCCGCATCTACGTCTACGTGTACGACAATATATTTTATATTAAATAGCAGCGAATGCGAGCGTGTAAGCGAGAGATATGCTAGAATACAGTACAGGACAAAATATGCGAGAGAGAGAGTGAGAGAGTAGTGAGAGCGAGAGAGAGGAGTGAGAGAGAGAGAGAGAGAGAGAGAGAGAGAGAGAATGTAAAATAAATAGATACACTTACGTATATACGTACATACATATGTACATATACGTACATACCAGGTGTGTCGGTAATTCCTTTCCGGTTTCTTCGCTAAAGAAAACACGTTATTTACAATGGATAGTTAAAATATATTTATTCAAAGTATTGGCCATTTGATTTTATACATTTTGCCAATCTCTCAGGCAATTTATGGATGCCATTCCAAAAGAACTGTTTCTCCTTTGAGCTAAACCATTCATCGAGCCGTTTTTTAACTTCTTCGAAATCGGCGAAGTACTGCTCTGCAAGCACGTGCATCGATGCGAAAAGGTGGTAGTCGGATGGAGCCAGGTCTGGAGAGTACGGCGGGTGCGATAAAACTTCCCATCCAAGTGATTTCAACACTTCTTTGACTGGTTTTGCTGTATGAGACGGCGCGTTGTCATGCTGCAAAATCACTTTATCATGTCTTTGAGTGTATTGTGGACGTTTTTCGATCAATGCACAGTTCAAATTGATCATTTGTTGTTAGTAGCGATCAGTATTAACTGTTCCTCCAGGTTTCAACAGTTTATAATATACGACACCAACCTGGTCCCACCAGATACAGAGCATGGTCTTACGACCAAAGCGATTTGGCCTTGCAGTCGATGGGCCGCCTTCGCCAGGTGATAACCATGATTTTTTTCGCTTGGGATTTTCGAAATAAATCCATTTTTCATCACCCGTTACTATTCGATGCAGAAATGACTTCCTTTCATACTTTTGAAGCAGCATTTCGTTGACGATTTTTCGATTTTCCAATTGCCTGTCATTCAATTCATGTGGCACCCATCTTCCCATCTTTTGGATTTTTCCCATCGCTTGTAATCGTTCACAAATTGCTACTTGGCTCACATTCAACTTTTCTGCCAATTGTTTTTGAGTTTGTGTTGGGTCTTCATCCAATAACTCCTGCAATTCCGCATCTTCAAACGTTTTCGGCCTACCAGGACGTTTTTTGCCTTGAACGTTGAAATCACCACATTTGAATTGTCGAAACCACGTTTCACATGTTCTTATGGTTGGAGCATGCTAACCATAAGTCTCTACCAGCAAACGATGACTTTCAGCAGCTTTTTTCTTTTGATTAAACAAGAAAAGTAACGCGTGCCGCAAATGCACGTTTTCAGGCACAAAACTCGACATTTTCAAAAAATTATTAATCTATAACGCTGTTATTTTGGCGGAACATAACTTGTGTAGTTTTAAGCTTAATGTCAGTAGAATAAAATGACATATGTATCAAATCATAACATTGCATACTTATGGCTAGTGACATCTGTTACAAAAACCGGAAAGTAATTACCGACATACCTGGTACGTACATAATTATTTTTTAGGTATTGTCCGCGTCCATGTTTACGTGTACAATATATTTTATATTAATTAGCAGCGAATGCGAGTATGTATGCGAATTATATGTTAGAATACAGTATAGGACAAAATGTGTGTGTGTGTGTATGTGAGAGAGAGAGAGAGAGAGAGAGAGAGAAGAGAGAGAGAGGAGAGAGGGGGTGAGAGAGAGGGGGTGAGAGGAGAGAAAGGGGGGAGCGAGAGAGGGAGAGAGAATGAGGAAGAGTATGAAGGAATGAGAGAGTGAGGGAGTGAGGGAGTGGGAGAATGAGAGAGTGAGAAAGTGTAAGATATACGTATACTCAGAGGCAGGTATGGTATCCCTCGGCGATGTCGTATATGCCTGTAAAACAATAGAAAGTGATGACAGGCATATACGCATACGCATATGGGCGTACAATACAACGCGAGAGAAGCGAAGGAGAAGTGGTGGGAGACATTCCGATGATGCATCCTTATCGCACGTCGCACGATCGAGAGAGAAAGCATTACCAGACGTGGTACGGTTAATGGTGTCCCCAGTAGGTGTCTCATTCACTCTACGCTTGAATGCAGGCAATATGAGTGAGACAGCTATACAAACACCGCGCTGTCTCTTTAGGTGTCTTGCTCGCTCTAATAGCGATGTATCGCACTTTCCTCTTTTCTCTTTAGCAGAAATGCCGATTTAGGAGGCAATCCTGTCTGTAGTCCAGAAAAATAAGCTATTTCCGCGAATTTTTTTTTCGGAAACTAAGCAGACGATTGATTTCAAACTTGATAGAAATAATAATATATATTTTATTGATGAGAATGAATTTTTATAGCGTTATAAAAGAGAAAAGCGCGATACATGGCTATTACAACGAGTGAGACACCTATAGAAATAGCGCGGTGCATATAAAAAATTAATATTTTTTTATTTCGCTAGTTCACACGATAGTTAGACATGTTCTGAATATGTAATTAGATGCCGAAGTCGATCGATCGATTTTTTATAAAAAAAAAAGTTTTTTCTCTGATTTAAGGAGATGCTATATAACGTCTCGTTATTATTATTGTAATTTTTATTATTATTAAATGTCTCCTAGTTTTTTCTTGTATTTTCAAGAGCGGAGCCTATGTTTTAAGTAGCATTTTAAGGAAGATGTTGCATTTATTCTCCCTCCTTCTCGTAGTCTTTCCAAAAGTGAAGATGTTGCGTCTAAAAAAAATTGCACAATTTGACATATCTTACGGCATAAATTAAGTTTTTTCGTAAAGAGCATAGCAGGATAAGCATGTATGTGCTGCCCCCGCTTGGATCTAGTTGAGATTTTTACAATAAGTTGACATTGATGTAAGATAATATTTCCCAAGAGATTATATTTAAAGAAAATTGTTTTATGGGAATTATGGAGGTAGAAAGAAAAATCGATAAAAATTTTTTTCTCGGGAACGGCCGAACCAATTTTGATGAAAAAATATGTGTTATGGGTTTCAATGCCACAATATTATAACAAAATTACGGAATTTTTTTTCAAAAAATACAGTTTAAAAAACTTTTCAGAATCTTTTTGAATTTTTTTTTTATGTTATACACTTGAGGCACTATCACCATTTTCTCCCTAA